ATTTTTTCACAGTCTCCTCTCATAAGGCCTTGACAATCCCTATATAGTCTGGTTTGAGAAAGATCTCCTTTCAGAAGAAGAAATTTCTGAGATGCTTCTGCTACAAGATTTCTTGCTCTGTCTGGTGATGAGAAATTTTGGGAAAGAATTCGTAGTACTAGTCTCTGAAAGGTTACAAATTAGAGTTATAAAATACAGAGAAATTATTGGAAAAAAATACAAAATAAACTTTGGGGAACATAAAATTGGGCTTAGTGCATTGCTGTTGAGTTTGTTCAGAATGAACACTATGCTCCTGAAACCACTGGGAGGAAGCTTAGTGAAACATACCCATTATCAAAAGCTCATATGCTGAACTACTGTAATGAAGGCATGATACATAACTCTTCACTGTTTTTTTTTTTTTGCCCCTAACATTCCTGTTCTTTCACATCTCACTGGAGCAAGTCATTGTTTTGCCTTTCACAGAAGTGCAGAAATATTGCCCTCAGCAGCACTCCTAGGAATACAGTTCAAAAGGTTTGCTTCGTGTTGACTGCTGAGAACGATGATCACCTCAGTAAAACACTGATAAGGAAGAGTGACAAAAGTGTTTCCAATGCCAACCATGTCATGTACAGTGTTGTTAGCCAGGCCCGTTTTATTCCCGATAGCTATGGTCTCCTGATGCAGAGTCACTGAAGGCCCTGAAGACCTGTGAAGAGCAGTCTCAGGCACTGTATTTAACTAGCTCAGGCAGCTGAGCTTTTCCTAAGCTAACTGGAGGAGACACAGAGTGCTATTACACAAACCATCTTCTCTAAACCAATATCTGTTCTCTCAGAGATAAGGACAAGAAACGTAAAATTTTTCAAAGCCCCATTAATTTTATAGGTTTTAACCTGTGCTATGACATGCTTGATACGAGCAGTGTATTTCGTTCTCTTCATTGCTGTAGCATTTGCAGTCTTCAGCTATTCTTCATGGCAGGTACAAGGTGCTCCACACTGTGAAATGCAATGCTGTATTAAGGAAAGATTGCAGCAATTCTAATTTTTCCTCCTTTCCTTTATCTGTGTGTTCTTTACTTTTGCCAGCAGCCATAAAAGCTGTTAGAGTGGGCACACACAGAGGTGGTTTCATGTTTTTCTTACACAGCTCTGCTTTACTTTTTGAAAGAGTCCAGGATTGCATTACAGGCTTTGCGGTTAGTCGGAGTGCTCAAAACCAACACTTGAATCAGAGATCATCTTGACAGTTCAGCTCTGCAAATCTTTGTGTACATTCAGGGCTTCTGTCCTTCAGACAACTGTTCTCTCTGTGTTCTTAACTTTATCAGAAGCAGGGGATCACTTTGCACAAATATGTTCACCCTGTTCCACCTTGATCACTGCCCAGAATACAAGCCAGACCCCAAAACCAACTTTTCTTTCTTAAATACAGCTGCCACACAACCTGTCTTGGCATTTCACAAATGTTTAGGCATAACACCAATTCCAAAACAAGTCTCAAACCTGAGGCCACCCTTACTTTTCAAAGATTGAAACTAAGAATTGATAAGTTTACATTAAAAAAAGCTGAAGTCCCACATGCTATCTCCCAGCTCACCTCTTCTCCTGCATGACCTTGCAACCACTACCCCAGCCTTTCTCCAATAACTGCTATTCATACTGAAGCTTCACTGACTTCTCAGCTCCAAATACTGCCCTGGCCACCCTCCAACTCCACATGCCCCTTTCCTACTGACCCAACTGCAGACAAAAAGCCTTTGGGTCAATCCCACAGCCAGCACCAGGACTCCTTCAATACAGACACTTTCTGCAACCCCACAAACTACCCTACACTCTACCTGATGGGCTTATACAGGGTCCCTTTCAGACTCTTCTCCATAGGTGCTCATGCTGAAATGATGTTATGCCAATAGGTGGGATGAACAACAAAAAAACTTTAGTCCAGAATTTCACTGCCATTTTTGTGATCTCATAGAAATGCCCTAAACTTTGCAAAAAGTTTCTTTGCATAAAGGGAAATTACCATGCAGACCTTTGACTGACCTGTTATGGCTGGACATACATACATTCTTATCTAAAACCCTCTCCTTCTGACAGCTCACTTAGCATGTTTCCTTCCTGCTTATCTCATCAGCAAAGATCAATGGATGGATGGAGCCTACCTACGCCTACTCCCGATCCTTCCTTTCCAACTCTGATCTCGGCAATACCACAGCTTGGGTCCCTCACTCTCCCACTGTGATGCAGGCAAGTCACATACAGCAATACTTGGAATTTACACAGGCTCTCCTGTGTGGCTGCCTAGAGCTGCATGACAATCAAAACCTAGAGAAGCCTTTTCAAGTCTTTTTTTTTTTTTTTTTTTAACTCTGACCCAGTGGAGAAGACTCTGCATCCAGGGTCATATGAAAAAGTATAGAGGAAAGCTCAGCATGTGGCTGTCATAGAAGACTCAGGGACTCCAGGAGGGCTTTTAAGGGCAGAGCTCCACCAGGGCCCTTCATTATCTACTCTGCTGTAGAGCACCTTAGGCTTTTCCTATTGTGGCTCATGGTTTTCTGCAATTTTCATGCGAGAACTGAAGGCATCAGATTAGGAAAGCTCAGGGTGAGGAGGATGACATAACTCTCTGGGACAGTCTCTGGTGAAATGCATAAGACCTGGCAGATTTGCATATTATATTTGTATACAGAACATACATACTCTGTACATGTAAATAAGGACAATCTGTAACAATATAAAAATCTAAAGAATAAGTGATGTATTGGACTTGGTTTTGAGCTCAGTAACACCACTAAAAGGCAGGAGAACTCCACCGCTGTCAACAAAGTTAAAGCCAGAGAAAACCACGGTAAATTGTACTGTTAGGTTAACGGTTGGACTGGATGATCTTAAAGGTCTTTTCCAACCTAAATGATTCTATGATTCTATGAAATAAGAACAAATGAGAGAGATCTCACAACTACGAGTTTTTCTGTAAGCTTACTCTGCAAACATTTGTTCTGCTACACTTACAAACTGAGAAAGAAAAAAAAAAAAACAACTTCTGGGAGCCAGTCTCTTCATGTATTTTAAATTAGGTAAAATGAGCTGGTTTAATTCATAATGCAAGTAGAACTGGCAGTATAAGACCCTCTTTGACAGTATGAATAAACCCCACATGGACAAAGATAAATGGAAGGGTGCTGCATGCAAAATGAAAGAGTGAAGATTGTTAGACAAGTATATATTTTATTAAGAGGAATACACTTTACATCAGGAGTAACCATATAAATCACGAGGCCTTGGCTCACAACCATTTAACAATCTTCTATAAATACCAACTAAAAATATTATCCTGAAACACATTTGTTTCAATTCACTTCACTGTGCCTATAAATAATCTCTGTCAAACAGGAACCCATGCTGATCCACAGACTACTTTAATCAGTCCACACAAATCACTCCTTGCAATTTCAATAAAATACTCAAACAATTTGAAGAATCATAAATAAGCAAAGAATTAATAAACTCTCCCAATTAATCCTAACTTACAGTTCCCTATTTGTGCACACCTAAACCACAGCATACATCAGATTTCTCAACACCTGTCCTCCAGGTGGATGCTTACCTGAGCTGTTGGATTAGATCTTCCCCTTCTTTAATAACATTGAGGGTAGCATCCAAGGTGGCTGTTTGTTGCTGCTGAAACTGCTTGATAAGCTCCTGAACCGCATCCACAGAGTCAGCACAGACATCCTCTAAGAGCTCCTTCTGCAGATCTTCCATCCATGTCCACAGCTGGGAAGGAGGGGAGGGAAATATAAATCAGAGAGGGGTTGAGACTTAACCCTTTTGCTCTCTAATTCCAAATCAGTAAGCATTAACTGGGGCTGCATGTTTCACATGAAAACTGACCTAAAGTTTCTAAAACCAAAAAGATACACTGGTTATTGATTCTGGTTGATGCAATGCCATTTTAAGCAACAAAGTAAAATAAATACAATATCAGCTATTTTTTTTTTCCAAAATTAATTTGCATTTCCATTTATTATATGACAATAACTAATTATATTATTCTGATCAACTCTTTACACAAGTAAAAAATCACAATGTCCTACAGCTGTGATAACCTAACCCTTTCAGGAGCTGTGTGCTATCAGCTGCTATTTGTTTCACATGCAGCTGAAGCCTGTTGCAGAACAGACCTAAAATCTTTGGTATGCATGTATGCTACTGGCTGAAGTCTAGCTGTGCCTGCTCAGCTATGCCTTCCCACGTGGAAAGTTCTGTGGAGGGTTTGGGGTTTAAGGGGTTTTTTAGGTTTGGGTTTTTCATGGGTTTCTGCCACTTACCCCCCTCCTCAAAACGCACCTCAGACTCTGCTCTTTAACTTTGGGAAAATCCAAACACAGGAGATAGCAATATCACCAATCAATCCCATGCAGATCCATTAATTTTAAATAGTCTTGACTACCAATTTCAAAACAACAGCAACAAATCATTTGAGTAAGTGCTTAGATGAGAATTTCCAGCCAGCTGTTCATCAGAGATCTGGACAGTGGCAGGCAAGCCCCAGCAGCCTCTCATTGGCTGTAAAGGCTTAAAGCGAACGGAGGTTTCCCCTTTAAGCTTGCTCTGAAAAGTGAGTGTAAAATTGCACCAACTGAGCTGGCGGTCTGCCAGCAAATCCTAATGACTCCACCAGAGAGACTGTTTTCTGTGCCATGCCTGCCCCATTAACCCACATTCTGCTGGTATATTCTGCAAGGTAGCAGAGAAGTACAGGAGCGGGAAACAACACTTTGCACCAGTGCCCTGGGAGATGTCAAAGGACGCGGTGCTGGTGGCAGCGGGGCTGCGCTTCTGCCATTCCAGGGAGATGCAAAGCGGTTTGTCTCGAAGGGAGCTAGAGGCATACGCGAAGCAGACGACAGACGTTGTGTGGGGGTGGCGAAAGAGCTGGTGTAAAAACGTTCCTGTTCAAAACAAGGCGCACTGGATCCCCATCCTACAGGATTTCTTCTGAGATTGCGAATCCTGCATGTCCACGTCAAACAAGAGGAGAGGGACATCCTAAGCGCCAGCTGGCAGGGCTTCTCACAATTAGGGTCCAAACCTAAGGCCCGTTGTCGAATGTTACACTATATGCATGCTGCTGACTTCAAGGATATTATTATTATCACCCTGATCTAAAGCAAGATAATCAAAATCAGAAGCTGTCTCAGCACTGCTCATGATATCAGAAAAGGGAGAGCCCAGCTCCCTGAGGTCTGTCCCCACCTCTGCTACTGACTCCTTGCTTGACAGACTTACAAAAACAAGTTTTAAAACATATGCTTAATTTGAAGGCTTTTCAGTTAGATTTTCAGAGTCAGCTTCGAATATTTTGGGTAAACGCCTCTGTTTATTCATAAATAGCATAATCATAATGGCCTACCCTACTACTGGCCTAAAAGGGAATGTCTTTGCTCAGGTTATTTATATATTTTCACATTCTCAGGAGGAAGGCATGATATAAAAAGGCAACTATTAATAAAAGAAACAAGTATAATTAAGTAGTCAGGCTTGTGAAGTAAATGAAAGAATGAAAACATATTTAAAGAACCAAACAGAGAGGTTTTTCATTTGTGGCCTGAGGTCCAGGTGCTGAACTTTGGGAAGCCACCATAAAAGAAAATGTATTAATGCCTTTATATATGAATTACATTCAGAATCTTCCTGGTTTTGATCTGATCCCTGCACCCACTCAAACAGTAGGGACAGCTGGACTATAACAGGCAAGGACCAGGTTGTTCGTGAATAGTACTTTCTCTGCTTATCAGATCTTTAAGTAATAGAGCACTTTGTAAATACAGAAGAGAAAAATGGCCATGCATATAAATCATCCTTCTATTTTGAGTTGGGAAAGCCACTAGTTTTTTTTTAATTTCTTGCTGTTCTTTGTCATATTTAATTTTTCTACTTAAGATAACAAAAAAACCCTCAGCGAATTTCCTTTACAGAAATGAAAGTGAAATAGAGAACTTGCTTCATTGCTAGGAATCTCCTGTTTTCTTGACATTACCATGTTAGAAAGGGCAGAGGAGAAGGTTTCCGATCTCCCACTGTGACTTCAGAGGGAAACTGTGTTTTCAAAAGTGTCTCCAGAACCCAACTTTCAGCAGCAGCCAAAAGGATTTGGACATTTAAGATCCCAAGTCACTTTTTGAGTACGCTTCTAAATCAAAGCAGTTTTGAAATACTTAAACATAAACTGCACTGTACTTACCTGGAACTGAAACACTCATTAATTTCAGAGAGCACTCAAATATATTAACTCATATTAGCTTCAGATGTTTCCATTAATGACCTCTGATTGTAAGGATTTGCATAATAAAATCTATCAGAATCTAGGTCATCCTTGACTCAGAGGCCTTTAATCCTTTAGACTCCACCAATCCCTGGGAAATCCTAATACAAAGAATCAGTCAATATTAACAAGATGAGGAAGATCTTTCAGGAACAATTTACAATAGGAAACTGATTAAAAAAACTCCTAGGTTATGTGCTACATACAACTAACCACCTGAAGTAAATTACTACCAAGTCCCACTTGTGAATGTCACAGCAATGAAAAGATGAACTCCATCTCACTGCAACACCAGAGTCAGTAGAGCTGTTAATCATAAAATAGAAATCACATCCTGTTTGACACAGCTCAGGAAAATCAGCCCCTATTAGGGCTCGATGTTTAATTGCAACACAACTATTCAATTGATTTAAAAAAATCCTGACTATTAAAACCCCAAATCACCAGACACCTTGCGCGTTTCCTAATTCATGCTATGACCTACTCTAAAGAGCTAGCTAGCTTAGACTAAGTGAACCATTTCAATTTTTCATTGAGATTTGACATATTACGCAGGACAACTTTTATCTCATAGTTGCAGAAACTGACTTGCTTCTTTTATTCTTAGCCTGGGAAAAATTTGTGAGCACCTGTCCCATTCACATACATACCCCAAACTACTAATGTATCACTTGATCCTGTACAGGGGGCATATGTAGATGCATGCAGACATTTCAAATACTGACACAATATTTCCGCATCCAGCTGTGGTAACTTTTACTAAGCTTGCCAGTGATGCACATGTCCAAAAAAGGAGATAATCTCTGCATTGTATTACTTAACATGAGGAGCGGCTGAGGGAACTGGGGTTGTTTAGCTTAGAGAAGAGGAGGCTGAGGGGAGACCTTATCGCTCTCTACAACTACCTGAAAGGAGGTTGTAGTGAGGTGGGTGTTGGTCTCTTCTCCCATGTAGTTAGCGATAGGACGAGAGGAAATGGGCTCAAGCTGCGCTAGGGGAGGTTTAGGTTGGATATTAGGAAAAATTTCTTCACAGAAAGGGTAGTCAAGCATTGGAACAGGCTGCCCAGAGAGGTGGTGGAGTCACCATCCCTGGAGGTGTTCAAAAAATGGGTAGATGTGGCACTTGGGGACATGGTTTAGTCTAGTCTACCCTTAATTGGTTTAGTGGTGGACTTGATAGTGTAGGTTAATGGTTGGACTGGATGATCTTAAAGTTCTTTTCCAACCTAAACGATTCTATGATTCTATGTACTAAACCAAAGATACAGAATCTTGGAAAACAATGAAGAAATAACACAAAACTAATTTTTGTGCTTTCTTCAAATTGATCTGTGCTTTGGTATGATTAATTGGATATGGAAGTACTAATACATTAATAGTAAAACCTGAATTAAGTCCATCAGAGAGATCCAGCCACAAATCTGACTCACGCAAACTACGTCTAAAAATGTTATAGTTGTCAGCTACGCAGAAGTCTACGGCAAATACCTAGCCCTAAAATGTCCATGCTGAAGGTCCATAGAGGCTCCAGAATTGAGGCTTTATTTGTCAAGGTAATCATGGGGTTAAATAAGAAAAACAGTTCTCTTCCACTTACTAGACCAGCAGATAAAAAAAAAGACAACACCCCCCCTTTTCTTTTGGGGGAGCATCTGGCACCTCTCATGCACTGTAACAACTTCTGCGTGTTTCTTGGATATAAAACACAGGCAGTTTCCCTCCATCCAAGAGACAATACAGCTCTTTATTCCCAGATATTTTATCTGATGCAATACTCTTCATTTTACTCAAGTACTTAATGAGACCACTTACTGGAGGTTTGAAGGACATCTGTGCCTGTTACCTAGAAATTAATGCTTCTGACTTAGAGCAAGGGACCACTTTAAACAAAATCTAAAACCTAAAGAGACTGCTAAGAAAATCTTGCCTGCGTGTTCGGAATAACTATTAAACCCAGTGTTTATACGCTGCTATTTGCAAATGCCAGAGATGAGTTTTAATCCCCTCAAAACCAGTTTAAAAACACTGAGTAATGAGACCAGAGTAAAGTAAAGAACTACTCGGTTCAATCCATGAGAATTACCATTGTACAACATTTTTGCTAGTCGTTCAAAACAAGGATGTTAATGGAAACAAGCAACTTTCCAGGGTATACGTTCTACCCCTTTACTATGTCAGAGAAGTGTCATGTGTTGCAGAGCAGTCCCCAAATGGATGCTCGTGCCAACTCAGCAAAGTGAACATCCATCACAGTAATGAAGGTTAGAGCAGAATGCAGAAGAATTTAGTGAAATATGGGGACTCTCTTTTCCCACCTGATTTGCACTGCTTCCACTCCATGAGTTGTAACATAAGCATGCAGAGAACCAAGGACAGGTTGAGCAAAAAAACCAAACACAAATAGAATTGCTCCAGAGACAATTTTCCTCCAAGCCTATTTTCCTCTG